TTGTTGTTGTTGTTGTTGTTGTTGCTGTTGCTGTTGCTGTTGTCGTTGTCGTTGTTGCTGAGCTGAAACAGACTGTCGTCGTCCTGGTGATGATTGTGTTAATGATCGTGATTCGGATTTGGTACTAATACCATTATTACCGGTATCAGTCATTGGTGTGCTTGTTCGTGTTATTAGTTGACTTCTGCAACATTTTTGGCAAATTCTTTTTACAATTTGCTTTGTTGGAATTTTCTAAATCTGTTTGAAAATTTATTTTTTCATTACTTGATTATTTCTTAACAACTTATTTAATGTATATTTTGCTAATCCAATAAGAAAATAATTCGAATAATACTTTCTACTAATTATTGGATGAATAAAATTTGATGTACAATAACTATCTTTCGATAATAGTGGAAATGTCCGTCAAACATAGCCACAACATTCAAACACTTCCAAAAAATTCTTTTAAATCAATAAAGTTATTGAATGGATAGGTAGCTAGATAAATCCTTTATTGCAAATACTCCTAATTTTGAAATATTTTTTAAATTGATTAAGTTTAATTTGATTGTTATATAACAATGAATATTGCTAAAACTTTTAAATTAAAGAAAAGAAAATTCAATTATTTCCACAAGAATGACATTTTGTGTAAAATTAATAATTATTTCGACCTAAATTATTACTCATTAACCAATCATGTTTTTTGAATAATCATCAGACATTTAATTTATTGAAATGATTGACCGATGAAAGACGAACGAAATGATAAAGCCTTATTAGTTTAAATAAATTCATATTTATTCAGTAGCATTTAAATTGAATGCCACCCTTTTTTTTTTTCAAGCGTTAAAATCAATTAAAATAGAAGTTGCACAAAATCGACTGAGTTATCGTACTTATCATCGGATTGGAAAGATAAGAAATGACTCGAAAACGTTAAAAAACAACGTAAGCTTTACTTTTCCGATATTGTCCAAACAATACAAAGGATTATTCATTATTCCAAATAATCACAAAAAAGATTGTAATATTGAAATTTCAAAAAATTTTTGATATATTTGTCTAGAAAAAAAAAGGATGATTAACAAACCTAACGCCAGTGACACCTTTACATTTCAACATATGCTCATCAAGTTGCATTTGTTTCAGGAATGAGCGACCACATTTGTCACATGAAAATCCTCGTTCTGCATGAATTTTCATATGACGATTGAGATCGAACTTGAAAATGAATGTTTTTTGGCATAATGGACATTGATGTGGTCGTCCACCAGCATGAATCATTAAATGTTGTGTTAGATGTCCTTTCTGAAAATGTTATTTTTTTGTTCCTTACTCTTAATTCCAAATAAAAAAAGAAGAGGATTGAATGTTGAATTTATTTTGAAAAGATATTTGAATATTTTGAATGTTTCCAAATTTTAAATAAATTCACGAAATTCACTATGAAGAAAATATTATCAATAGCTTAGCTTTTTTTTTTGCTAAATTATTCCCATAAAAAAATTTATATTACGAATAACTTAATAAGTCATCTAAAATAACTCGTATTTAAATATTATGAATAAAAATTATAATTGATTTAATAATATCAAATATTGAAATACCTGAAAGAAAGCTTTGCCACAGTGTGGACATACATGTGATCGCTCTCCAGTATGCCACATCCAATGTTTTTTAAGAAGTTGTCGGGTACCGAATTGTTTACCACACTGTGTACACGTATGAGGTTGTTCGCCGCTATGTATACGCATGTGCGTGCTTAGTTCACGTTTTATTGCAAAAATAACGTGACATTCATCACACTCATATTGAGGTTTATCACGATGCGTATGTTTATAGTGTATATTCAGCTAAAAAATTGTTCATAACTATCATTTGTGTTTTTCTTTATTTTAATTTTTCTGATTTTTCAAACGTAAAAGTAAATTTATAGAATAAGATTTTAAAAATTTATAAATTTGTAATTAAAAAGAAGAAAGAAAAATAAATTGAGTAACTCTTTGCTATTTGTTATTTGATGAGGATTAATAGTTAATCAAAGTAAAAAAAGAAAAGTAAAATAATTGTGAATGTAAATTTATAGAGTAAAATTTTTA